CACAGTTCTAGAAATCAGAACCATTGTGATTGACAATGCTAATCAGAGTCAAACAGACCCTCTGCTCTCTTGACCTTGAGCAATTTGTTTATTAAATGCTATGGTAGACATACAGAGGACGTCAACAACTGTATAGACATTGTAGGAAAGGAAGCACTGCATTTGTAATAACAGAGTCACATTTGACCTCTGCAGTTACAAGAGGTGCTCAGTGTGACTTGTATCCCTCTTTGGTTATCGGTATATACTGACCGTTACAATTTTAATGCAGTTCTCTCATATCTTAAAATGTGTGTGCATTTTTTTGACATCCCCTGTGTTTTCTTCATATCCATTCCTCTTCTTATGGCGAGACTACCGCTTCGTGCCTTGGGAGAACTGGTCTCCACTGTATTCATACCCTGCAGGCTTTGTGTAAAGGGCTGAGGACAGCACCTGACACACAGTGAATTTAACGGTCAGAATGCAGTAGTAATCTCTCTCTCTCTCTCTCTCTCTCCTACTGGACGATGGCATAGGAATCCCATATACAGGCAAAGTGAAGTCACCTCAGAGGAAATAGGACCCTCAGTTGGCTCTGAATTAAGCCAAGACTGAAGCCATCTCCCCTCCTCAGGCTTGGAGTTGCCTGAGCCAATGAATTTCTCTCCTATATCAGTTGGGGTTGATACAACTGTCTACGGCCTACCATGGCAGGTCTTATTCGGGGTGTTTTAACATGAGTCTTTGTTCCATTTTCATAGCAATCTTGTGAGTTAGGGAATACACTGCCCCCAGTTTAAAGGCAGCTATGGAAACCCAGTGAGTTCAGTGAAACACCTGAGTTCTCACAGCAAGTACGTAGCAGAACTGTAATTTTATTTCATTTCCTCTAGTTCACACTTGAGTTTACTACACACTCCCCATTGTCGGCTCTGGTGGGGTGGAACGGGGCCATTGAGCAGGAATGTCACTCCATTCCAGCTCTAAGAGAGGCCGAGGATAAGCAGATCTGTGCCCAAGGCCTTCGGGAAGAGGATTCTCTGTGTGCCACAGGACAGTGTTGAACTTTACAGATGCATGTCGGATTTGTGAAAATTATCTACCTGGAGACTTCACTTCTGCTCATTTCTTGATGTGAGAGAGGGGGAAGATTATATTTGTTAATATAAAACTGTCTTATTTTGAATACAACCCCAAATAGCCAAAGAACAAATTATCTCCTCTAATAAAGTAAAGCAGACATGAAACCTTCAGACTTGGGAAAATCAAAACAAGAATGATCTTATTATCCTGAGCATCTTTATGGTACCTATAAAAATTCATCTTTAGTAGGGCTTCAGACAAAACATAAAATAGTAATATTACCTTGCATTTAACACTGCCTGTATCCTGCAATCCCAATCCCAGCTCCAATAATTCTCATAACAGGAAGCCAAAGGTTGCGATTTGACAGAGGCCACAGCATCCTTCCAGGTCATCTGTGTGCACCTGCCTTCACCTTCAACAACTCTGCGAGGAGCTTAGTATTCAGATCCACTTAACAGAGACGTTAGGCACTTTGTCCAAGATCAACAGCTAGTAAAGAATAGAGATTGGGGCCTCGGGTCTCCTGGGACTCTTGAATCAGTGCTTCCCACGCTACATACACTGAAAAATAAGTAAGATCTGAAGAACACCATTCCTAAACTTCCCCTTCTAACCAGTCAAGCTCAAGTTTATACCAGCCTCACAAAACATAACCACTAAATACGATGCTTTACAAAATCAATACATATTCATACATTCACTTATTTATTTTGAGACAGAGTCTCACTCTGTCACCCAGGCTAGAATGCAGTGGCATCACAGCTCACAGTAACATCAAACTCCTGGGCTCAAGCAATCCTCTTGCCTCAGCCTCCTGAGCAGCTGGGACTACAGGCCTGGGCCTCTATGCCCAGCTAGTTTTTCTATTTTTAGTAGAAATGAGGTCCCGCTATTGCTGTGAGCTCAAAATCTACCCATCTCGGCCTCCTGGAGTGCTAGGATTACAGGTATGAGCCACCACACCCAGCCAAAATCAATACATATTCTGTATCTCCACAATATCAGAGGCACAGAATTCTGAGAACCGGGTTGTAGGTGTCATAAGCATCTGACCCCTGGAGTTCTTGGACGAAATATGAAAAAGGACAGACCATAAAGGGACCATCTAAGTCATGGAATAAAACACTTTTATTTCCTAAGTCAGCATTTTATAGCTTTTGGTCAGAAACGATTGAAATAACTTTGGAACTGATGTCTCTAACCTATCTATATTTTTCATCTACCACTTCTTTCATCTGAGCTACTTCAATATCTCCCAGCATCCACACCTGTTCCCTCTATCCAACAGGCCACAATGTAATCAGAGGGACCTTTTACAAAATCTGAACACAATTATACCCCAACACACACCCTGGATATACACATGGTCTCAAATATACCCGCTTACAAATCTCTATGGCTTCCCACATCACTTAGAAAAAAGTATTAATGTCTTTTAATTAATCACCCAGATCTATACTTCTACTAGATTTCAATATGAATAAATTAAACTTTTGTTGGTTCTGAGGAGTGGTCATTTTATACCAGGAAAATTAATCAGATGATTTCAAAAATGAAGTTTCAGAGAGTCACGAGGTACTACAAAAGTTTGCTAAGGTTTTAGTCCTCAAACACTACCACAAAAAGCCATCTTCTTTTCCTATTTATTATTTCCCATACGTAGTAAATAACAAATTATTTTAAGATATTAATAGTTGAGTAAGTACTGCCCTAAACAGGCCCCAAATGTCCCAAATGATGGCGAGTTCTCCTAGACAGTCAGGTGAAATCCGAGCAAGAAATAATGGGAGATCTATAGTTGTAGAAAATTCTTTTCTATTCTACAACATTTTCTATATTTAAATTTCACTGGTTACAATTAATACATAAGCAATTTCTAAGATCCAAAGAGTAAAATACGGTGAATGTACACAAAATACTCTTAAATTTCTGTAGGGATTCTCTCATATGGGAGAATAAATAAGGACAATAAATGAATACGTCTGACCACAGAAGATCATTGCTCTCAACTTTAAAGTTTATTTTTAAGACGGCATTTGTAGCCTTGGGGAGATTCACCGACTTGTTTCTAGGTACTTGAAAATAAAGTAGACCAGAAAAGAGATTTCTGGGAAGAAGGAATTTTAAAACTTTCTAGGATAGTTGTAAGAACATCACATTGATCACATTTCTGCAAAGTAAATTTGAAACAGTAAGACTTGTTTAAAATGGAAGAGGCAGATTAACATGCGGGAGCATTACTGTCATCTAGTCATATGAACTGAGGTCTTCGGTGTTTAGAACTTCTGGTTTTACATTTATTAGGTGTCATATTTTAGTTCAAAAATAACTGTCCACTTTTCTAAACATTTTTTTAATAACGTTACAAAAGTTGATTGTTTTCAACTTGAATGTTACATCAAGCCATAGGCAGAAGGACTTGCATTTCTTAAAATGTAGCCATTGAAAATTCTAAAATACAACATACATCTGCAGCATTTTGGAAAAAGAGCCTGAATCCTAAGGGAGAAAGGAAGGATGATGAGGAAAATGAAATGCGAAGGCAGCTGGTTCTCAACCTGCGGGTCGCGACCCACAGGGACTGTGGGCCGCAGCATTAGGAAGGTTGAGAACCACTGCGCTCAGTAAAGAAACCACTCTGTAACTAAAAATAAACCTGCCATTTGATCCTGCAATTCCTTTATGAGGTATATATCCAGAAGACCAAAAACCACATTATAACAAAGATATTTGTACCAGAATGTTTATTGCAGCCCAATTCATAATTGCCAGGTCATGGAAGAAGCCCAAGTGCCCATCAACCCATGAATGGATTAATAAGTTGTGGTATATGTACACCATGGAATACTATGCAACCCTAAAGAAGGATGGAGACTATACCTCCTTCATGTTTACGTGGATGGAACTGAAAAATGTTCTTCTTAGCAAAGTATCTCAAGAATGGAAGAAAAAGTGTCCAATGTACACAGCCCTATTTTGAAACTAATTTATAGCTTTCATAGGAATGTTATAACCTAATTATAGCCTTAGAATATGGGGGGGAGGGAGAGGAGAGGTGAAGGGGGTAGATGGGGGGAGGGAGGGTGATTGGAGGGGTTACTTCTAGGTTTATTCTACAAGGGTACAAGTGAATCTTTCTAAAAGCATAGTATGAATGTCTTAACTCAATAATTGAGAAAATGACATGAAGGCTACGTTGACCAGTTTGATGAGAGTATTTCAAAATGTGTGTAAAAACACCACACTGTATCCTGTGATTGCATTAATGTACACAGCTATGATTTAATAAAAGAAAGAAAAAAGAAAAGAAACCTCTCTGTAGATGGTAATCAGCCCAGATCTTACTGGCATTATCTTTTCTCTCCCAGATCAACTCCTAAAAGCAAAAAGCAAAAGCCCTAAGGGTGCCTATCAGGTCCACAATAAGCTAGTTTTAGATTCTATCTCTTAGGGTACTATTGGCAACCATTACACTGCAAACAAAATACTATGGACGGGACTCAATAAACCGCAGCTTGATAAATGTCCACGGCCCCTCCTATTGACCATCTAGTTAGCTCAGAAGAAGAAGCATCCACTAAATAACTGTATGGAAATTTCCAAAACCCAAGAAGTCAGCGTTTGTTCAACTTGACCCACTAAATGGGACATTATTTTTTTTAACATTTTTATCTAGTTCAACTTCAGTTTACAGTATGGAATCCAACCACATAATGAAAATTCATATCATATTTGTGAAACATTAGAATCCTTTACAGGGGGGACCATTTTGAATACGTGAATATTTTACAATACTTTTCACATGACATAATCCCAATTCTATGAATTTCCTTGAGGTTGGAGCGCCTATGTCAACCTAGGCTTCAAATGATCTAAGCCTGGAAAAAAATAAACTAAAACCTGAAACAGTCATTCAAAGGCATCACACTCACCTCCCCGCCTCAAATGTGAACCACGTGGTGTCACGCCCGTATCGCCGCAGGGCACTTAGCGGCCAAGAGATGAGTTTGACTCTGGGATTCTGGATGTCCCAGAGACAGATGCACTCGTAGGTGATCTGCAAGGCACACTCGCCATGTGCATCTAAGTTAGGAGACGGCATCAGATACACGTTGAATCTCTCTGGGAGAGAAACAAAAGGTTAGTCTGAAATCCCCAGGAATAAGACGTCAAAGACAGGGTAGGAACACAGAGGCCTTTTAAAACAACTCAAGTTCTCATTCTAGGTTTTCATGCAACATTCAGCAGGATAAAGCTTTCTCATAAATTAACAGCCCCAGAAAACGATTTTTAAAATTCAGACCCTAGGAAATAACATAATTATAATACAGCGTGGCTGTCAACAGACACTGAACACTACTTACAGGAGCAAACATCACTTTTAGAATTTTTAAGTTTGCATAATAAAAAAATGTGTATGCCAGTAAAAAACTAAAACATTGAAATCAGCAAGAGCAATTTTTTTTCCTGCCAAGCACACATTAACTACACCCACTCTGCTGTGGTCACAAAAGATGCACGTGTAACCTAGTAGTCTCCTGGTTTGATGGCGTTAAAATTATATTGATCAACTTATCATTTCTATAATGACATGAATCAAACTGTATCTCAAATCATTTCAATCGAATTCCACCAATACTACACACTAAACTGACCAACAGTTTGGGAAAATTCCAATGGATATATTAGAACTTGTTTTAACAAAAACTTTCTATAATGCAATCCTGAAAAAAAAAAATTTCCTTATTTGAAGAATTGTTAAAATGTAACCAAGGTTACTCTAAATAAATTGGTTAGCCGATCACTGAAATCAAATTTCCATCCCCACAGTTAACTGTATTTCTGTGACATTTCTAGAAAGTTCATTAGAAAGTTACAGAGTCAAAACCTTTAAGTGAAATAGAAACAAAAATATGATTACGGCAAACACATCTCACTTACCCATCATTATGATAGATCGGCTACATCTGACAAAATAATGTGGCGCTAATAATTTTTTATTATTGGTACTTTAATTGTTTTATAGTAAGTTAACCATGTAATTTGCATATATTTTATTAATTGTTGTTTTTAAATAGTAATGCCAAAATTGTGCTCATAAAATGTATGCATACACTATTCAAATTTTCTAAAGCACTTCAAATTCCTAATAACAAAATATTTTTTGCTTTCTAGCCTCTATTATTTCTAAAATGCATCCTAATGGAGTAAATGGCCCCCTTGTGAGTTCTGAAGCAAGTCAGAAAAACTGTCTTTATTAAGTAAGAGGCAGGCAAGCCCATCACCAATTTATTTGTTTAGAAGCTTTTCGGTCTCAGTCAAGAATATCAATGGCCATAGGGATAGAAGTGACCATTTTCATTATAATTACCTGAAGTCGTACAAATTAGCAATTTAATATTAGATGACATTTGAGTTTCATCATATCCCTAGTATTACAAATGAGAGATATTCTCATTTCCATCTGACAACAAGTACAAACCTAGGCAGAGAAAACTGGCCTGGGAAAGGCAACGGACCCCTGAGCACAGCCAAATCTTACATTCAGTTAGCAGTTCTGCTAGGATATTGCTTTCCAAATATAAATTTGTGGGAAATAAGTACTGACCTGAGCACCCTAGGTCAAAAATAATTAATAATAATCCAAACTTATCCTATTTTTTTTTCTTTATATCTGGCTCCCAGGCATCCTCTCTGGTCAGGGACATCCTAATTTAGTGAACCAGAAGAAGCGACTTGTTGTATGACCTTAGAAAATGATTTAACCTCTCTGTTGCTCAGTCTCCCAATCTACACGGAAGCTTCTCTGAGTTATTCAGCCATTCTGGGTCTCGGTCAATAATGCTTCTGTGGAGATGGATGATGGTCCAGTATGGTGCTTCCAAAATCGTCACAGACTGTAAATGTGCCCTGAAGACACACAGCTCCAAGTGGGAGGGAGAACATTGCTTAGGAACAACCAGGATGTGTGTCTACAGAAGGGCTCAGTACATTTCAATCTCTGCCACGTTTGTGATCAAGCCAGGTGACCCATGGCCCCTTCCGTTGTGCCACGTCCAAATAGATCAAGTCCCTGGCCAAAGAAAACATCGTCAGGATCCCCTCTACACTGTCCACAGACTCAGCTATTTGGAGACCAAGAAAACGACGCCTCAATTCCAGGTTTGCGCTGTAAGCCAACATTGATTTTTGCTGACGTGCTCGTGAATATTTTGGCCATTTATATTTTAAATGATTTATTCCTAGGTTGAGTATTGAGCTCGGAATTAACTCAAGTGTTTCAGTTAAATGAAGTTTAAATTCTATTGAATTCTATCAAAAGCACTGGGAACCTTCCAATAACATTTTAAGTGAAAATGGTAAGATAAAAACCCCTTATACTTTAAAATCTCTGTATTGTCAGTACAGGCTCCAGGAGACAGTGTGGAATCAAACATTAGCAACTGGATGAGGCAAGGTCTTGGCTTTCCTCAGCTATAAGATGTGGGCAGTAACAATCCCTGTGCTCTAACACGGCTGTGAATATTGAATCATCTGGTAGGGTTATGGCATTTTCCCCCAAACCCACAGACAGCAGGTTCCCTAAAATTTCTAACTGATCTTATTAATGTAAATAAATTCATATTATGACTTGAAAAAAAAATACACTGAAATGCTGACACAGGTTATAAGTTGGATAAAAGGTTACTTTTTAGCTTCTTGGTACATTTTCATAACTTAACTATTACATAATGAAGATCTCTTTTGTTTTAGTACGTGGGGATGGCAACAGTTTTTGAAGAGAGAGAAAGATAGGATTTCCTCAACCTACCACTCTGTTCTCTCTCAACCCCAGTGGCCAGTAAGTCAGGCTCTCCCAGGCTGATGTCATTGATCCGCGCCCCTACGCACTCCATCTGCAGGACTTTGCACCACTCATCAGCCTCGAGATCTGTGGAAAGGCCCAGAAGATTAACCTGTGTGCCCAGTGCCCACTACAAAGCCAAAAGCAAGCCCTGCCCCCAGCCCAGGCCTCAGACGAATCTGATTCACCAGCGAAGGTCTTAGAGGTGTTCTCACTGAAATAAATCCCTTTGCGACCCCTGCCCCCAGCCCGGGCTTCAGACGAACCTGATTCACAGGCGAAGGTCTTGGAGGTGTTGTCACTGAAATAAATCCCAACGGCGTGTTTCTTGGTGCTCTTTGGCAATCGGGCTACATTCTTCACGTTGTTGAGCTCTGTAACCTGGAAAAGGGGCAGGTGGACGTTGGATCTCACTGTGATGACCGTGCCTGGCATACAGCACGGAAGGTACGTCCCAAATGAACATGACCCCACACTAGAGCCCATTGCTATGAGTGAGCCAGGAGACCACTTGGTGAACTCAGAGTTATCCTCACTACACGGCAACAATGCTGAACAAATCATCCTTCCTTACTAATTTTTTCTGAAACATAGTAAGAAGCACAGGCTGAAAAAAACTTCATAGAAGTTGAAAAGTTATTCCAGTTTTTCCTTTCTTTTTGAGACAGAGTCTCACTTAGTCACCCTCAGCAGAGTGCCATAGTGTCATAGCTCACAGCAACCTCAGTCTTTTGGGCTCCAGAGATCCTCTTGTCTTAGCCTCCCAAGTATCTGGGTCTCCTGCGCCACCCACCATGCCCAGCTATTTTTAGAGACAGAGTTTCACTCTTCCTCAGCCGTCTTGAACCTGTGAGCTCCGGCAATCCCACCCAGCTCAGCCTCCCAGAGTGCCAGGATTACAGGCATGAGCCACCAGGCCCTGCCCTTCTTCTCCTTCTTGTAAACCTCCCAAAAACTCCCCCTGATGGACAGTTCTCACGTCTGTTTCCACCACCGGGGACAGCTTGCTTTCCTAGTTGACTACAAAAGCCTCCAGATGTCCCTTCAGAGTATTCCCAGGGCAAGTGTCTTCAACACACTGGCCCAGAGGAAGAGGGGCAAGGGTGGTCCAGTTCACAGCCAGACTATCTCAGTCTTTGCCAGTTGTCAGAGACGGAGTGTGAGAGTCTCAGAATTGCTCCCAACTCAAGGCTCAAGTCATATTCCAACACGGAGAGGCCACAGAAAATCTGCTCTCCCCAATATTCCCCCACACACACTGTCTGACTTACTCTTAGCTCCTCGGTGGTTACGGAGCAGCTGTTTTCCAGTCTGAGCGGCACCCGCTTCCTGTCTATAGAGAAGTCTGTAACCATTAGACTCCCTCTCTCCCATCATCCCCGGGCCCCGTGGGTTAACACTTCTGTAAACACTTCTCTCCCACCCTCACTGAGTTTCCTCAACAGTCATCTTAATTCAGTTACATCCTGAGCTTCTGCTGCACTGGAGGGTGTGACGTTTGGTTCTCTCCTGGAGAAGGCTTAGGTGGCTTCGGGGTGAGTATTTACGTGACAAATAAGCCTTTCACAATGACAAGTTTAACCTCCCCTTAATGTATCTCTTTTGTGCTCTTACACAAAAGAATCTGCCTACCATCAATCTTTGCCCACAATGATGCTGTACAATTTCTCCCATCTTTTACTCCAAATTCAATAAATGCCTGGCTCAAGACATGGGTGGGAAGAGAAATAAATATCCTCCAGGCAGACACTAATCTGATTATTTCATTTCCCTGCTTCTTAGCCCGTCTCGGCCCTTAATATTGTATGAATGCCGTGTTCTTGGCATGAAATGCCACACGGGTGCTCTTCAAAACCTGCCCACATCAACCTTGCGGTGACTCGGCACTGCATGTCTGATCCCCCAGCCACACCGAGTCCCTCGGAGCTCACCTGTTGGTTTTGTCTGTCTGTTATCTTTGCGCCCCAGCCCCGATACAAGGCGCTGTCACCTTCCCACAAACACTGATCGGTGTCTCTACTTCCATTTTCGTCCCCATGAATTCACTGTGCACAAGGCAGGTGATTTTTGTAAAACAAACGTCTGGTTCCAACATTTCTATGCATAAAATAGGAACTTTTGATGACCTTCCTTTACACTTGGGGGGAAACTGAAAATCCTTAGAATGACATAAAGACCCCCTGTGGCCTTCACCGTGCTATCTCATCAACGTCCTCTCTGCCCCTGTGTCTTGTGGCGCAGCCACACCGGATTCTATTCAGTTCACAGAAGGTACCATGATTCTCCTGGCACAGAGGCCTCCCTACCCTCCCCTTACTTCACTCTCACCCCCACATGTCTTAGCTTAGATCCTGGTGGCCTACTGAGGTCCTCCGGAGCCCCTGCTACCCCGAGGACTCCTGCACCACCTCTGGGTTATTAGTTTAGGGCATGGGCTTGCCTCAAGAGCAAAAAGTTCCGTAGGGCAGGGATAGTGTTTTTATTTTTTTTGCCCATGATTGTGTTCCTGAGTCAAACACAGAGCCTGTCACAGAGCAGGAACTCAACAAAGACATGTGTGAACAGGAGACCAAGCTCAGCTGTAAATGTACTTCTGTAAGTTTGGTGGTTCAGTAACCACCAATCGTCCCGCGCTCTCTTTCCTGCCTTTATTTCCCCCAGGGAGATTTCACTTTCCCTCTCCGGCCACTTCCTCTAGAAAACTTGCCATGACCTTCGTATTAATCAATTATTACTTTCTCTACTTCCCCACATGTGCTGCATGAATTCCTTTTTTATCTTCTGTGATTAAACTTGGTCTGTCTCTTCCTCCGACTCCCACCTAGACTGAAGTCACCAAGTAATAACTGATGGATGACATAAATAAGAAATAATCATGTTAAGACCCAACATCCTCAGCTCCCAGCAAATGCCGCACACCGTGCTTAGAGTTGTTATTTGGGTCTTCGTAAAAGCCCTATAAAATAGATATTATTATTACCTGCATTTTCCAGATGATAAAAGTGAAGCTTTAGTGATACAACCAAACTCATAGCCGAAAATTGGTGGAAGCAAGATTTGAATGAAACAAATTGACCCCAAAGCCTGTTCTCTTGATCCATCTGAAATACTACAGTCTAACTCTAAAATCTTTGAGTCACAAGTTAAATATTTAGACCCTGAAAATCATGTCCCACTTGAAGACCTTTTTCTTTCCAATGTGGTTAGACAGTGAAGTGGAGGCAGGGCACGTGTGTGCCGGCTTTATTCCGACCCTCTACTGAGACATCGTATCAGAAGTCTACCCCAGCCTGAAACGCAGCAATGGCTTTGAATTAGGTCACTTCATTACATATCCATAAAGGGCAAAAAGGAAGAGGGACCTGAACAGTCAGGAAATGCTGGAGGAACCGTGTGAGTCAGAACACAATTACCCACTTTGACAATTGGCTTAGGAAATAAGTAACATGACCCCCTCGTTCAGAGGATGCAAATGATTGTTCACAGAGCAGTCAAGGCCATGATGGACGTGCCAATAGTCTCTGTCCCTACCTCACAACTGCACCTCACAACTTTGAGCTCACACACACACACACACACACACACCCCGTGCTTTTAAGAATTGCAATCTAGGGTGGTGCCTGTGGCTCAAAAGGGTAGGGTGCCGGCTCCATATGCTGGAGGTGTCGAGTTCAAACCCAGCCCCAGCCAAAAAAAAAAAAAAAAAAAAGAGTTGCAACCGATACTTACTCACAACAGAACTTCAACATACCTGCTAAAGTAGTAATTATATATAGCAGTGGTTCTCAACCCTTGGGTCGTGACCACTTTGGAACAATGAAAATACATCCTGCATATCAGACATTTACATTCTGAGTCATAACAGTAGCAAAATTACAGTTATGAAGTAGTAAAAAAAAATAATTTTATGGTTGGGGCTCACAACAACATGAGAAACTGTATTAAAGGGTCACAGCATTAGGAGGCATTAGAAGGTTGAGAGACACTGATCTATAACAGTTTCAGAGAGATTTATAAGTCACATAAAACTTTTATAAGATGTATTTACTTCCACTATCTTTCCATTTTGAAAATGAGAAAACCACGGGAGGATATGATATGTCTTTTATAAGGAAATAATTCCAGCTCCACACCTGTCTCTCAGCAGCTAGGGCGCCAGCCACATACACTGGAGCTGGCGGGTTCAAATGCAGCCTAGGCCTGCCAAACAAGAATGACAAGTACAACCAAAAAATAGCAGAGCATTGTGGCGGGGGCCTGTAGTCCCAGCTAATTGGGAGGCTGAGGCAAGAGAATCAGTTAAGCCCAAGAGTTTGAGGTTGCTGTGAGCTGTGACACCACAGCACTCTATCCAGGGCAACACCTTGAGATGAAAGAAAGGAGAGAAAGGAGAGAAAGAAATGAAAGAAAGAATTCACCCCAGAAGAATCACTTTTGAGGAAACAAACACGAGTTTTCAGAAGGGCTCAAATTCTCATGTACTATCAGCGATATTTAACACGGGGCCTGCAGAAGTGCCCTAACCATCAAAGAGGAGGAATATTCGGGGCTATATTCACGGAACTACTCTTTCAGCTGACCGTCAGTTTGAATTTCTTGTTTTTGCCTTATATTTCAGATCAACCAGGAGTTATTTCCTGCCCGTCTCAAAATTGCTTAGAGAAAGTATTTCCTGAGCCTCTGGAGATACAGGTTTCATTATTTCACAGCACAAAATACTAGGCACACCCTGCGCTCTACATGAATTATGTTTTGCATAGTACTTTGTTTCTGTATTAAAGCAGCTGCATCTATGTTCCACACCTTTTTGTATAAATACACAGGTAAAATAATCACCTTAAGATGTAACAATATCCAATGAGGAAAATTGCTAAAGTACAATTGTAATGAAACCACATTCCCTGTCCAAAAATCTTCCTGGCATTCATTCATTCATTTAATTTTTTTTAACTATTTATTCACTCATCCATTCTTGTATTTATTTTAGTATTTACTCTGTGTCAAGGACTATTCTAGTCACCAGAGATCAGAAGTTGAATGATAGACACATTTTCTGCCCTCCTGAACTTATATTTCAGCAATGAGAGAAAATAAATGAACAACTTAACTACCAGGCAGGAATAAAGAAGTAAGGAAAAATCAAGCTGAAAAATCTACAGGCTGATTCAGTAGATGTCCAAATTAAGCTGTTGTTTTGAGACATGTGGAAGGGAATTCTAGGTAACAGGGCTCAGGGAAACTTTGCTGCTGTTTAAGGGACTAATGACACTCTTGCTGAGTAGAGCTTTGGAGCAGAGGCTCATTGGATCTGTGAGAGCAAATCACATGGACAGCTGGGCACAAACCTTCCAGACACAGGCCATGGTATGTGCAAAGGCCCT